TCCCTATACTTTAGACTGCAAACAGCCCTAGGATATAGGAAATGATGAGTATTCATGAGCCAAGTTGAAGGAGTATGTCACAGTCATGAGACTAGACTCTCACAGCAGAGATCTGGAGTAAAGGAAAAACATTCCAGGCCAGTTTTCCCCTTTCTCCCTGATCACAGCTTCTGGCTTGTGACCTTTCTTACTCTGTCTCTCATTTGCTTTCAGTATTTAAAAACCAGCCTAAAAATAACTTCCAGAATCAATATTTTTGTAGGTATCCCCCATGAACAGCCTCAGAGATAAGCCTCTGAGACTCATCTCAATTTCTAATACTTAGCCACGTAATCTGGGGCTCTCCTCCAGAGGAGAGAGGCTCTAAAAGGAGGTTTGGGAAAGACATTAACTTATGATTACAAGAAGGGGCTGAGGATCAATGTTCCTAAATCTTTACTTATAATCTGAAGCTCATCTTTTAGCAGCCATGATTCTGTTTACCTCTGTCCTAAACCATTCTCAAGACCTTAGACCACAGAAGGTAAAAACAATGTGCACATATAGTTTCTGGTGGTAGATTTAACTCTGATGCTGAGAGGGATCATGAGCCCCACATCTGATCATGGTGCCCAAGAACAGGGACCTCCTATCATTCATGCCCCGTAGCCTGCGAAGTAACAGGCTTTTCTGTGGCACCGCCCTAGTGCTGAGTGTCCTCACACCCTGACTAAACTCAGAATGAATTAACACCCCAGATGAAATAGCAAATAGACTGGCATGCAAAGGAGGCAACGTGCTATGAAGCCTCTGCCCCCCTCCTGCTCCAACTACTCCTCCCAGAACGCAAGAGAACACGAACAACCCTACACACCTATGGATATTCCTTGGTTACCACCAACAAACAATGGAAAAGGAGAGCCAGGAATTCTGGCCAGAGTGACACATGCAGGCCTCCCCCTTCTCTGACAGCAGGTTACCAAACAGGCAGGCTGGACACGTGGTTGGGGCACCAGCAGAACAGGAATACCTGCACGAGGTGTTTATTGAAAGGAGTTTAAAACAAAAATAACTAACCTAAACAGTCTTTGTGAGAAAAATCAGAACTTTGTCGAATTGGTTATACTTGTTTTACAGTGAAATGTTTAAAAGTTCTTTGGGGGAGAGAGAACTCTCCTTTCAGGGCTTAGAGCCTCTGATTGCAATCTTGCCTGCCGGGAGCTAAGCCAAACTCCCTGGAAAGACACACTTCAGTCCCAGCCTCTAGTTCCATGGAGGAACAGAGACCCTGTAACACCAGGGGTGGGAGTGGGGGGCCAATGCTGGGGCCTTCCCCCAAAGCACCAAAAAAACATCATACCTCAGCTGAAAGAGAGGTCATAAACTCAAAGCCTGTGGGCTCTGTTTGGCCAGAAGATGCAGAAATGCATTTCTTTTGGTTCCCATGTTTTAAAATTTTTACATCAAAGTCCATTTTCTGATTTTTTTTTTCAACAGTGGAATAGCAGTACTGAATTTCAAACGCTGCTTGGCAAAAATTGTCTGAGTTGAATGTGGGACATGCTCTCCCAGGTCTAGTCTGTTAGAGATGACACCACTCCCCTTGGACCCAGTTCCATGGCCGGCCTCCCTCAGGTGTGAAACCCTCCTGGCCCCTATGGGTAGGTACTTGGGTTTGGGACCCTTTAAAGCTTTGATCCCCCATTAAAATGCAGAATTTGTAGCAAAAGAAACACATGAAGGCTTTGACAGTGTTATTTTCAGGTCACCACAGATGAAGGTCCTGATGGTTTTTCCTCAGGAAAGATCCAGAGAGAGCTTGGGAGCTGCAGGTTCTGAGTGGGGTGGATGGAAGCATTTGCTGTCACAGGAGGAAAAAAGACCACGCCTGGGATTGAAAGCAGACTATAACTGCAGGATTGCACAGCGGTCTGTTAGTGGTGTGTCTGACTTGCTCCCCCTTCAGGACCGTGCCATGGCTCCTTTCTCTTCCGGCCCGGCCGCATCAAGCAATGAGTTTCCTTCTTCAGGAAATCGGTTTGCTAGGGCTAAGACAGTGTGAGTTTAATCGGCCAGGGCACCTGCCACAGAACACCCTGTCCGTGATGTTAAGAAAAGCCAAACCTATTGGCCCAACCTCCACGCTCCTAGGCCACTGGGCACTTCCCACACCATGCATTTCCCACCCAGGAGGAGAGCGCAAAGGGTCTGTGACAGTGCTCCTTCCCCCATGGGGGTGCTCCTGCCCAGAGTGAAGCCCACTGAGCATCACTGGCCATCCTGTCATTCCCTATGGCAATGTCCTGAGCTAAAATAGAAACCCCCTTTGAGGTTAACGTAGTCTTTCTTTTGTCTTTTGCATTTAAAAAAGCCAAATGGCTTGAGCATCTGCTCATTCTTTCTGACTTCCAAGTACATTCTTTACCATCCAAGTAGTAACCTTTGTTGATTTAAGCCACATAGAGCTCTATATGAGAAAGAGAAAACATGTTGGATCACATTCAAAACGGTCTCCTAGGTTGCAGAAAAATCATAAGGTACCCCCTTGGGAATTCCCATCACAGGGACAGGTCGTCAAGGCTCAGCACCTCCCAAAATTTCCAAAAGCAGGATGACAAATCAGGGAATGCCTGGGCCTGACTCTTACCACTAGGTGTCACACTACACAATCAGGAATAAAGACTACCAGGTCTTGAAGTCCATCAGGAATGTAAAGCAGTAAAAGGGGGTGTAAGAAAGCTATTGAGATACTTTTTATTTAGGCACAATTTTGTTCCTTAATGATTTTTTAATTTGCAGCTAAAAATCCTCTTCTGAGCTATATAAGTGGGGCATTTAGAGTTTAGCATTCTTTTTTTTTTTTTTTTTTTTTTCTTCAGAACTTGAATATTCCAGGTAGGGGAACATCAACCCTCTATTTTACATAACGATTGGAGTAGAAAATATTTTGAGAATCTTCTTCAAATTATAGTACATTCAGCCTCATTTCTACAATGAGTATTCAAAAGTGTAAATACTACAACTGCTTTGGGGCCCCATGATTAATATGTTGGGATAGAAATTAGATAAACTGCCATGGGGTGCCTAGGTAAATTTCTCTGCATTTCAGTTTCTTTTGGGGAAGACAGGAACGATACCTATCTTACAAGAGGAGTTCTGAGAACGAACAATGTATTGCAAGAAGTGTGGGAATCCTTCCAAAAACCTATACTGTGATATTTCCAAGAGACATAGTCACCCTTAAGCAGCTATATGTGTGTTTGTGGACAAGCAATACATTTTTTAAGCAGGAAAAAAACCTTAAATTACATTAAATCCAATCTTATTATAAAAGCAGGTAGACCACAGCAAAGTTAACTGATCTCTCCAATTAATATGCAATTAGAGGTGGAGCCCAAAGTGAGATCTCCTACTTATAGCTGCTATTCTATCCTGCCTCAATAATTGTATATTTTGTACATCATATGCCTACAGAGACAATGGAGTCTATCCTTGGGAAGTTTTCATTGTAACATGTGATCATTACTATCCTGAAGGTTTTATTTCTTGATTTTAGGGCTTTCCCCACCCCCATATTTTTTATCTCACTCCCCCCGACCCAGGTTCCCTCCATTTAGATAGCCGGAGGAGTGGAAGGAGAAGAGATGGCAAACGGTTGGTTGGTTAGTACATGGCCAGTCAAGGTAAAGATGATTGCAATATAATCACCAGAAATTTCTGCAAAACTATAGAGGCTCCCTGGGGCTCATCCTGAAAAACTCTGACCCAAGTTGCTATATTTTGCCTGGACCAGTTCTAGAAGTAGATGAATTCAATTAGATGCTTGCTGGCTAGGAGATGGGGGTGGCGTGGGAACATAAGTTCTATTTCTGCGGGTGAAACCAGAGGATGAGGAGTCTGGGGTGGCTATACATATTGCCTGGAGAGGTCCAGCTGAGGCCCTCCCAGGGCGGGAGAGCACGGAGCCAGCAAGGGGGTAATGTTAGGGCTGCCGGGGGCCTCCTGTAGCATGCTGAGCAACTACTTTCTTAGCCATCCTTAAGGCCCTATCTTGGGTAAGGCGCTGCTCAACCTATTCTTCAGCCTCTTCCAAATGCTTCTGCAAAGTCACCCAGCTGGGCACCCAGAAGTAAGCTGAGGATCCATTCTCTGCAGCAGCACGGTGCAAATCAGGGAACATGACCTCAATAATTATTTTGTTCATGCAGAGTAGCTAGCTACAACCTCTACTACAAAGATCAACACCTTGCTTTACTTGGGGGAAAAAAAATGGTCATGTTCAGCATTTTCCCTGAATACAGGGCAGAGTGTTTGCCCCTCCTCCAGTCACCAGGGCTGTTTATCCCGAGGAAATGATTTGAGGGTTCTCCAAGCCTTAGGCTCTTAATGCCAAAGCATTCACAACTTCTCCCGGGGGGTGGGGGGGTGGAGGGGCTGGCTACATGTCCCTGCGCTGCAGAGAGCCTGGTATTGGCAGGAAGGCAGAGGCTGCCTGCGATCTTCTAACCCGCAGTGCGTCCTTCCCCGCAGCGAGAAGTTTGGGCAATCAAATCCCGACGTCCAGCCATCATTTCCACTCCCGTTTTCAAAAGATCAAGAATCGGAAAGGACCGGCCGGTCGGCAAACCCCAAGGAGGAACTGCCCAGCAGGTCTGCGTTCATTGGGATCTCAACAGTCGACGACCCCAAATCGAATCGATCGTGGGAAACCCCAGGGAAAGAAGGCTTCTTGCAGAGGGACGGGATTACTGAGTGCAAGCTGCAGGGAAGTACCGGGGGAGGGGACCTTAGTCGGGAGGACTTTCCAGCCACTCAGCGTTCATCAAAAAGTTCCCTGTACATGACCCCAGTGGCTCATCGCAGGGAGTTTCTCTGATGAACCCGGCTCAGGGTTTAGGCTTCTCCCCCCCACCCCCCCCCCACCCCCCTCCCCCCTCCCCCCTCCCTCCCGAGCAGAGGACGAGGCCAGTTCTCTTTTCTGGTCTGACTGGCTTGGAAATTCCCCGCGCCTGACCCCGCCCCGGAGAAATCCCCTGCCAGCGTTTATAGGGCGCCGCGGCGGCGCTGGCGAGCCCACAAGAGTCGCAGGCAGCGGTCCTCCCCTCCGTGACACTGCGAGGCAGCGAGCGCGCAGCCCGCGGCCGAGCGCACCTGGGCCGCAGCGCCAGAGCTTTCAGCGCGCCATGTTTCAGCCCGCCGAGCACGGCCAGGACTGGGCCATGGACGGTCCCCGGGACGCGCTCAAGAAGGAGCGGCTGCTGGACGACCGCCACGACAGCGGCCTGGACTCCATGAAGGACGAGGACTACGAGCAGTTGGTGAAGGAGCTGCGGGAGATCCGCCTCGAGCCGCAGGAGGCGCCGCGCGGCGCCGAGCCCTGGAAGCAGCAGCTCACCGAGGACGGAGACTCGTAAGTGTCGCGGGGCCGGGTGGCCGGGGCTGGGTGGGGACGCCGGGCCTGCAGCGCGAGGCCCGCGAGGCGGCCGCAATCCGGGGTTTATGCACCGCCGCCCCCCTCCCTCCCAGGAGACCGTGCAAAGCGGAGGGCCGCGCGTAGGGGCGGGGGAATGCGGGTCGGACCCCGGGGCGGCGGTGCAGCAGCTCCGCCTTGCAGCCGCGCACGCCTCCCCCCCCTCGGCAGGCCGGGTCCCGGTCCCCTCGGCGGGGGCGGGGCGGCGGCGGGGACGCGAAGTCCCGGCTTTGCAAAGGGGGGCGGGGGGAGCGGGAGTTTCTGCCCCGCTGGCGGGCGCCGCGCGGCGGGGAGGGGAAGTACAGGGCGTTCCGGCCCGGCGGGAGGGCGGGGCGGTCTGACCGGCGCCCGCCGAGAAGGGGGGGGGGGGGGGGCGGGGGCGGAAAGTCCCTGGGCGCCTGCCAGGAACACTCAGCTCATAATAACCTCGCGGAAAACACCGCGGCCTCGGCCTCCAGAAACCCCGGCCTTGCGCAATCCCCCGCAGCCCGCGCCGCCCTGGGCCCCACGCAATGCACTCACCAGCCCTCGGGGTTTTTCCCTCTCTTCCCCTTAGGTTCCTGCACTTGGCCATCATCCATGAAGAGAAGGCACTGACCATGGAAGTGATCCGCCAAGTGAAGGGCGACCTGGCCTTCCTCAACTTCCAGAACAACCTGCAGCAGGTGCGCCGGCATGCCCAGCCCCGTGCCTCTGACCCAGTGATGAAGTTGCATCTAGCACAGTTGCTCCCAATCCTTTGTAAATTAATAATCACTGGTCGTTATTTACCCTGACCTTTTACATTGGAATCAGCCAAAGTCCTAGAGAGGAAAGAAAATTCCATTGATTTGGTGAGGCCTTTCTGAAAGCCCACCTGGGGCCTCCGGGATTTGTCTTGCCCCTTATACCTGTCTGGGAGGAGCAGCACCCACGACCAGGAGATCTCTGGGGTTCAGGGGGAGACGGACTCTGAGTTTGGGCCATGGCTTACCCTCTTTCTGTTCCCTCTTCTGTTTGCAGACTCCACTCCACTTGGCTGTGATCACCAACCAACCAGAAATTGCTGAGGCACTTCTGGAAGCTGGCTGTGATCCTGAGCTCCGAGACTTTCGAGGAAATACCCCCCTACACCTTGCCTGTGAGCAGGGTTGCCTGGCTAGTGTGGGAGTCCTGACTCAGACCTGCAGGACCCAGCACCTCTACTCCATCCTCCAGGCCACCAACTACAATGGTAGGTCTGCCTGCCCTACCCTGCCCATCAGAAGGCAGGTGACATGGAGAAGGGAGAGGTGGGCCAACTTTAGGAGTCTGGGCAAGGGCGGAAACTCTCAACACTTGAAAGAATGAGAAAATATACATGCAAAAGGCCTATTTGATGCCTTAATAAAGTTCATTCAGAGCCCAGATTGTGCGTTCTCCAAATTCAGAAGCATTTGTTCCCTAAAGAATAGGTGGAAAGTTCTGCTTGAGATCTGAGGGTTGAAACAAGTGGTTATACTTTCTTCATTGTTCTTGTAGGTCACACGTGTTTACACTTAGCCTCTATCCATGGCTATTTGGGCATCGTGGAGCTTTTGGTGTCTTTGGGTGCTGATGTCAATGCTCAGGTGAGTGCTTCATGTCTCCAGATGGAATGCATCAGGGCTGCAAGGCCCTCCTCAATAAGACTTCACGTGCTCTTGTTACAAGCAGAAATTCCAAACTCAGCCATAAACATCTCAAATTCCTTTTGGTTTCAGGAGCCCTGTAATGGTCGAACCGCCCTCCATCTTGCAGTGGACCTGCAGAATTCTGATCTCGTGTCACTCTTGTTGAAGTGTGGGGCTGATGTCAACAGAGTGACCTACCAGGGCTACTCCCCATACCAGCTCACCTGGGGCCGCCCAAGCACGCGGATACAGCAGCAGCTGGGCCAGCTGACCCTCGAAAACCTTCAGATGCTGCCAGAGAGCGAGGATGAGGAGAGCTACGACACGGAGTCAGAGTTCACAGAGGACGAGGTAAGTCTCAGCTTCGTCACTCTGCACAAAGCAATACCCTCCCAGGCCCCTAGAGTGACTCTTTATCCAAAGGGCTCAACGTAATGAAATTCTCACACTTTAGTGTGTGTGACCAGTAGTACCCCAAAAGTGTGTCTTCATTTTTTGCCCTTTTTAAAGGAGAGAACTAAAGAAAAACTCCCTCAGCCCCTGAAGTTAATTTATATTTGGGTTATGGAGAATGGAATGCAAGAATACTTGAGTTATTTCCAGGAACAGCCCTCACCATTATCCCAGCACCTTTGGCAAAGCTCTGGAAGTTTAACGTGCCTTTTCTTTCTCTTGTTTTTAGCTGCCCTATGATGACTGTGTGCTTGGAGGCCAGCGCCTGACGTTATGAGCTTCGAAAAGTATCTAAAAGAACATGGACTTGTATATTTGTACAAAAAGAGAGTTTTATTTTTCTAAAAAAAAAGAAAAAAAGAAAAAAATCAAAAGGGGGTACTTAAGACCACACTTCACACTCCCTGGCCCGAAACATTTACTATGGTGGATCAGCCCTCATTTTGTTATTTTTGTGAACTTTGGAAGGGGGACAAGAAAGATCATTGGAATTCAAAGAAAACATTTTTAAACCTCATCTTTGTGGGGTTTTTGGAGGAGGTTATGCAAAATGTGACAAAAGGACAACATTTTATTGGGCTTTTTGATTGAATCACCATAGATTCCGTGGCTGAGCCCGGTGTGGGATGTGTAACGACCAGGTGTGTCGTTAAACCTTTCAGGCAGGGATGTGGGGTTAAAAGTCACTATCTGTCAAGGTTTGTGTTATCCTCCTGTAAATGGTGTACATTGTGTATTTTGTTGGTAATTATTTTGGTACTTTTAAGATGTGTATTTATTAAACAGATTTTTACAAACCGAATTCTCCTGATCGTTCTCTTTGGGCTGCCGAGGGGCTCCCAATCTGAGAGTCTCTGGGGGAGGTGGAGAGCTGTGTGGGAGCACTTACCACAGCCAGCCACAAAACCCTCCCAGAGAGCAGCTTCTCACACTGTGTACACCAGACTCCCTGCGAGGCTTTGCAGGCAGCCCCAGGGCCCTGTGTGTGGGAGGGGAGGCTGTTGCAAGATGATAGGAAACACCATTCTTAGGCCTGGGGTGGGGGTGGCAGTGAGCTGCTTGGCCTTCAGCGGGAAGCCTCCATTGCCATTTGCTTTCATCTTGGTTTAAGCTATGCTAGGACCCCTCCACTTGGCCATTTTGGTCAAGACAAATCTGCTGAAGTCATATTTGTATTACTGGGAAAGTTCTTAACTATAATGCTGGAAGTTCCTAAGGCATGGGCTCAGGATTGGGACTGCACGCACTAACATTTATTAGCAGGTACCCACCTCTGAGGCTTCTTTTCTTCATGTATAAACTGGGCTGTTACGATTGCACAAGACAACGCGCGCCTAAAGCATAGCAGAGTGCCAGGCACATGGTGCTAGAGAGAAATGCAAGCTATTGCACAACATCCTGTATCTCATAGGGGAAGAAACAAGTCCAGAAAGAATGTCTTGTCCGGGGTCACCTTGCAGGAGAGGCAGGTAGTTAAATTCCAACTCTTGTTTCCAGAGTTGGTTAACATCTTTTAACTGCATTCCACCTCTAAATCAACCTATTGTTACGAAGTAGCGTGAATGATACTAAAAGCTTGAAAAGTCTTTTCCCCAGCTCAGTGTGCTAATTCTACTGAATAATTCTACAAGAAGGCAAGAACTTGTGAAATTTAAGTGCTCCATATGGATGTTTCCATCCCTAAAATACATTTCTTGCCAAGGTAGAAAGAGGAGTAAAGGAAAGTTCATGGCATTCTATAAAATACAGAATGGCATATAAATGCAATCCCTGTACTTTCGCTTACACCTAAGAAAATCTTGCCATTACATTATCCCTTTCCGGATCCATAAATGCGGTCAAAGTCAAGTAAGTATGATCACCTTCCTCTCAAACCAAAAAGGAGCCAATACTTAGGGGGTCTTTTAGTATATGAAGTGTATTACTGTCGATTGGACTGACCTGTCAAAGCCAGCCCTGTCGCCGTCCTGCAGCCTCCATCATCTAGAGCTGAGCACAGTGATGGCCCCTCTACCAGTCTTCTCTTCCCGCAGAGAGCTCCCGGCCCATCACAGAAATTCCTTGTGCATCCCAGAGCACATGAGCTCAGGTGCTATGTGATCTCACACAGGAATGTCGACTAGGTTCCGCTCTGTCCACTGCTGAGTAGAAGAGGTAGGTAACGGGTGGTGGGGAATATTCACCTCATATCCAAAAGAACACAGGTTGGAAACTTGGCTTCCAAATTTGGAATGATGCCCTCAGTATTTCTTAGTCACACGTGCCTCTTCCCCCCCCACCCCGTAATGGTACTGAATTTGTGCCAAGTTGCTCATCGCCTTTACTCCAGCCCTGTGAGAAGGTTGGAGAAATGGGACAAAGGGATGTGGCCCACTATTCCTCAGCCTCCTTCATGACTGACTTTTGTGTAGAGGTGAACCTTCCATGGTCATGGCAGGGAGGGGCCTCTTCTGACGCATTTGGGCCTAGTCTCCCACATTTCTAGGGTCAAGGTGGATTCCATTGTCTGCATAAATCTCAAGGTCACTGGGCCCAGTTTCTTCCTCTCAAATCCTTCCTGTTCCTCTACCTCCTTTCTTTCTCTTCTCTTTATTTGAAACCTACTTTCTATCCTTTATGCCATTGGTTGGGTGGCTGGAGCCTGGAGTTCCCTAAAAGAAAAGTTTTAGAACAGAAACATTCTAATCTACAGAGTCTTCAGCATATTTCTAAACAAACAAGAACAAAAGTTTTCAAAGAAAACAGTGCGGCAGCCTGAGAGCCTTTTCGACACTCTGATTCTCTCCAAGAAGCCAAAGGTCCTGTCAGGACAGGTAGAAGTAAGGGAGCCTTGGGAAAGAGGGAAGTGACAGAAGGAGGGAAATAAAGAATCACATCAGCAACTTCCTTGAATTTAGTTCCTTGATTCCTTCTGCCTGCCTCATCCTCAGGACAAATTTCCTTTATAGGTCACATGTACCCAGTCCCTCCCAGAAGGAGGGGTTTTTCTTTAAAGAGGGAATAAATTCCAGTGTGAGCAATTGGAAGGCCTTCATGTGGGGCATGGACTTGCAGGAGGCTAGGTGCCGGCGGGGGGGGGGGGGGAGGGGGGGTATTTGCTTTGAAATTTCAGTAGCTACTGAAAGTGATGAAGTGCTGACCGTGAGAACTGAGTCAGTGCAATGGGTTCTTCCTTCACCCCCCTTCCTCCCTATTTTCATCAGCTTGCCCTAGGTGCAGTTGAAGTTTCATTTGGCAAGAAAGGTCAGAGCAGAACTCCAGTCAGAAACATGCCCAAGAAGCATTCCCCAACCCTGGTACTTGGCCAAGAAGATCCCAGGCTGGTTCCCCATTTTAAGGGACCATTACAGAAACTAAAACCAGATACCCTGTGTGTTTCCATTCTAGAGAAGTGGAACTCTCAGACTCATTCATTCATTCACATTATGAAGCACTATGATTCCTCAGGGCCTGTGCCAGGGGCCAGAACCCCCAGGAGGAACCAGCCACAGCCTCTGCCTCAAAGAACTCCTTGCTTAGGTCAGAAAGGGAACCGAACAAGCACACCTAAGACCGGAGGGTAAGATGAAGCAGAGTGTGATGGGAGCTCTGGTCAGGGGCCCCCAACACTGAGTGCAGTGAGATGAGATGAGTCTCAACTATGTCACTCTGCACAAAGCAGTACCCTCCCAGGTCCCTAGAGCTACCCCCCCCTTTTTTTTAGAGAGCGAGTGAGCAAGAGAGAGAGAGAGAGGGCATGAATGGGGGAGGGGCAGAGGGAGAGGGAAAAGCAGACTCCCCGATGAGCAAGGAGCCCAATACAGGACTCTATCCCAGGACCCTGGGATCATGACCCGAGCCTAAGGCAGATGCTCAACTGACGGAGCCACCCAGGCGCCCCTAGAGCTACTCTTTATGAGATTACACCCTTGTTGGCTATTTGCTCCCCCAGACCAGCACTATCTATTCTTACTCCATTTCCCAAGTGACTCATGGTAGCCTTTTGACAAGTGGCAGGGAGCGAAGCTGGACTCAGAACTTATGAGCTGGGATAGGCTATTCATTTTTGCATCTGTATGCGATCCTGGATTCCAGAACTGAGCCTAGAATTTGCCACCAGCCTTCAAATTGAGGGCAGATGATGTGCATGCCTGAGGCCAGAGCTTCTCCAACCCAGTGTGTACTCCAGCAGCCTGGAGATGGTGCGGAAATGCAGGTTCTGATTCAGTTGCTCCACAGCTGACCTGACACTGCATTTCTAACAAGTTCCTAGACAAGGCTTGTGTTGCTGGCCCAGGGACCACACTCTGCAGAGCATTTTGAATAACATTTTGAAGGAAATGCTATTTTGTTTATTTAAGGTTAACACTTGCTGGCACCTGCACCCACTCCTCCCCCCCCCCCCCCGCCCCGCCCCCTGCAAACTGGGACAAGCACTTCTGCAGCCATATATGAGGATGATCCAGCATGATCCAGCATGAGTCTTCTGGAAAGTAGGGCAGGATCCTGAGCGCTGTTGGCCAAGGCCAAGAAATCTGCCATCAAAACAAGCAAGTGTAATTAGGAAGGAGGCTGACACAATACAAGGCCAAAAGTGTCATCAGCTGAGGTCCAAGAAAGGAACAAAAATTCATGAAGGAAATGCATTTGAAGGATGATTTGCTAATTAAGAAGTTGACAAGCTGGTTTTTAAAATGAGCTTTTTGTACCTTTGCATGGGGTTGGCATGGCATGTGGGAGGGGCCCTGACCAGGCCTCAACCGAGAAGGGGGGAAACAGAGCTGCTTCCCTATGACAATGTCCCCACTATCCTTATCAGAATATGAGAAGCCTTCACCAGCAGTTGACTAAGCTATATCAGGGAAAACCTTAAGTGCTGCCATCGTTTCATATTTCCTAATTTTAAAAATTTATTGGATCTATACAAAGCTGTAGTCATCAAAACAGTGTGATACCGGCACAAAAAACAGACACATAGATCAACAGAACAGACTAGAGAACCCAGAAATAAACCCACAATTATAGGGTCAATTAATCTTCAACAAAGGAGGCAAGAATATGCAATGGGAAAAAGACAATCTCTTCAACTAATGGTGTTGGGAAAACTGGACAGCCACATGCAAAAGAATGAAACTGGACCACATTCTTACACCATACACAAAAAGAAACTCAAAATGGATTGAAGACCTAAATGTGAGACCTGAAACCATCAAAATCCTAGAAGAGAGCACAAGCAGTAATTTCTCTGACACCAACCATAACAACATCTTTCTAGATACGTCTCCTGAGGCAAGGGAAGCAAAAGCAAAAATCAACTATTGGGACTACATCAA